AGAGCTGGACCATCAAGAAGGCTGACCGCCGAAGAATTGATGCCTTTGAATTGTGGGGCTGGAGGAGGCTCTTGAGAGTCCCCGGGACTGCAAGGAGAACTAACCTATCAATTCTAAAGGAAATCAACCCTGAGCGCTCACTGAAGCAGAAAGTGTGAAGGCAAGAGGAAAAGGGGACGACAGAGGACAAGATGACTGGACAGGGTCATCGAAGCGACCAGCATGACTTTGAGCCAACTCTGGGAGGGAGTGGAAGACAGGAGGGCCTGGCAGGCTTTGGTCCATGGGGTCACAAAGATTCAGACAATTAAACAACAACAAATGGTTGGGTTTAATGACCTCAGCCAGGCTAGTTGCCTGTCTCTGGGCTGCACTGATGATTAGCGTCGGCCTGATTGATGCAATGTCACAAGCCTGGCTCTTGGCGGCCCGTCAGGCTGCGGGGTCCCTGGGGGATGACAGGCTGTGCCCTTGATGTGCCGGCGGGCATTAGCAACTCTGGAGAACTAGGAAGAAGTTGCCTGAGAATCACAACCCTTAAGGACACTCTCTCTCACACACACACACATACACGAACTGCCTGTATGGTCCAGAAAATAACTTCCCTAGTTTCTAAACCCAGGGCAGGGCCCATCTTTCCACCAGTCGCTATTTGAATCAGTTCTTTATGGAGCAACATGAGGACCAGCCCCTTGATTGGACAAGTCTGGAAAACTGCACGCTCCAAAGCAATGTTTTGGAGAGCTGAGTGGAAAAAACACACATACAGTGGTGCCCCGCATAGCGAGGGTTAATCCGTTCCGGATTAACCCTCGCTATGCGGAATCGTCGCTAAACGGGTAGGGAAAACGTATTGAAACGCATTAAACTTAGTTTAATGCGTTCCAATACCTTGCTTACTTACCCGTTCAGCGAGGATTCCCCTTGCCGGCAGCCATTTTCGCGCCCTCGCTAAGCGAGGGCAGGGGGTGAAAACGGCTGCCGGCAGCCATTTCTGGGCTTGGTTTTCCCCATTGCGAAGATCGGGTATGTTTCCGTATAGCGATCCCGAAAAAGGGATCGCTATACAGAAACATCACTATATGATGCACTCGCTAAGCGAGGCACCACTGTATGTCAATTTCTGCAGGTTTGGCTTTTAGCAAACCCAACATTTAAAACCATCGCCAGCCTTCCCATTACAAAAAACTGCTGATAAGATGCACCTCTGGTCTGTATAACAAATGTGAATCTTGTGTACATTATGAAAAAAAATCTTGCGGTGCTGTGAAAACTAAAAGATTTAGCTGTTGAGTATTTTGCTCTACTTCCTGAGCTGAGTGCTGCTTCTTGAATGTGCAGTGGAAATATTTGCACGTTCAAAGAGAAGATCCAAAGTTATTGCTCTTGTTATCATTGCGAATGTAACCACAGATGAGCCATTTTAAGTGTCTGCAAAATCTTCCGAATATTTTAAGAGAGCTGGGTGGATAGCTGTTTGGTTTTAGGGATCTGGCTGCAGAGCCTGAGGTTGGGAGTTTGATCCCCCCACTGGGCCTCCAAGCAAGAAAAGCCAGCCTGGGTGGCCTTGGGCCAGCTGCACGGTCCAGAGATGTCCCCAGAGGAAGGGAAGGGTCAACCACTTCTTTATTTCTTTATTTATTTTATTGGATCTTGTCAAGGTAAATTTACAGGTCTGATCAGAATAAAGTATATTAATGAGCAGCCATGATGAACAGATGTGTAAAAAACTGAGTCATGATGACTCAGCAGTGCTGACTCATGCATGATGCAACACATAATGTGATTGGACACAAGCAGATCTGTATGTATATCGCGCTGCACCCTCGCTGGGTACTTTTAAGAACCAACTAAAAACGTGGATGTATAGGCAGGCCTTCCCTTCCAGTTAATTCCTGTCCTCTTTCCTTTTTTATTCTTTTTCTCTTTATTTGATTTATTTTGTATTTTTCCCATCTTGCAGAACCATTTAATTAATTAATTGTTATAAATTTTTCTTGAACTTGTTATCCTTTATGTTGTAAGCTGCCTAGAGTGGTTGAAATGACTAGATAGGCGGGGTATAAATACAATAAATAAATAAATAAATAAAATAAATCCCCTGCTGCTCGAGGCACTAGTCCCTAACATGACCCACAGGCAGGGCTGAAACTATGAGGACTCCACCAATTTGCAGAAAATGTCAGAAAAATGTCCCTTTTTCATGCCTCTAATTGTCATTTCGCTTTTCCTCTTTGATTGCAATACTGTACTTCATGTTTTATATCTGTGTTGCTCCTGACCTCTGCTGGCAGGACTTCGACTGAGAAGCAAAAGTTGATCAAATTACTTTTTTTAATGGGGAGCTGGCATTATCAGGGGACTTGGAAACTTCTTTCACACATCAGTTTCCGTAGTGTAGCGGTTATCACGTTCGCCTCACACGCGAAAGGTCCCCGGTTCGATCCCGGGCGGAAACATGTTGTTTTCTTTCTCCCACCCCTTCCCTTTCTTTCCCATCTTCCATTACTTTCTCCCATCCCAATTTTAAATTCTCAGTTAAATGAAAAAAGAAATGCATAACTAGGGGCCCTGGAGCAAACCTATTTTGCAAGGCCCCGATTTTGCAATCCGTCTTTAAATTTACAAAGAGGACTTAATTTTTTTAAAAAAATATGCATAATATTTAGTAAAGGCAATGGTAAATAAATAAATAGACATATTTGTCTGCATAATATTTAGTAAAGGCAAGCCTAATAAATACATTCGTATTGATTTATGTGCATAATAGTTAGTAAAGGCAATCTATTTTTGCACCGTTTGCAAGCCAGTGAGGGATGTTAAATTCGCAAAGAAAAAACCAAAACCCAACCTAACCATCAAGCGCCCTTAAACTCACATATTGATTCACTGAAAAAAGTATTTGATTCATTTTAAACAAACAACCCCGCTGACCTTAAAAACGATGCAGGTTTAGATTTATTTTTTAGGAGATCTCATTGTGCATTGCTTAGAAAGCAGATTCCAAGTTTCAGGAGAGCAAAGTGAACATCCCTTTAAAAGATGCACCGCAAAAGCCTGGATGAGAGATCTCCCTTCGAGTGAGCGAAAGGCTCTTTAAATTAAGTATAAATAGCTTTTTTTTAAAAAGGAATTTCCCCAGTGAGTAGAGGCAATATTATTTGTGATGGCTTGTAAAAATCCATGGTTTGCAACCACCTCCTGTGGAAATGCATCGATCTATTTCTGCTCCATCCTCTGAGCAACACTTATATGTATGTATGTGTTGCTCAGAGGATGGAGCAGAAATAGATCAATGCATAAATGTGATTATATACAACATCTGCATCAAAATAATTGCGTGCTTGTGCGTATTTTTCACGATTCTGTCCCAAAATGACGGGCCAAGAAGCAAAATCAAGGCATTTTAAATACATAAAATAAATAATTGGATGCAGAAAATGCATGCATAGATCATGAAAGATGAAATTGAGGTTTGCTTTCTCTCCTAATCCCCATTCCCGCATCTTTTAAAAATGCATTCTTTATTTACTCATTTCAAAGTTTTACCCCGCCTGAAAAACAGCCCAAGGCGGCTTATATAACAAAATAGACAAAATTGAAAGCTAAAAACAGCAGATCCACAAAGACCAAAAGAGAGAGAGAGAAGCTGTAAAACCATTTAAAAAACGAAATAAAGATAGAAAGAAACATTTTTTAAGACTTAGCACGGGATCTCAGCAATCCGCAGGGAATTTTTGCAAGCGACCCGAAAAAATCATGCAAAAGGAGGAAGGGAATAAACGTGGCATTCTTTTGCAATTGATGAAAAAATATGTAAGGAGAGGAAAGGTGAAAAATGAAATTAAAAAGTAACTGCGTTGGCCGGGAATCGAACCCGGGTCAACTGCTTGGAAGGCAGCTATGCTAACCACTATACCACCAACGCCGCGACGACCGAGGCTGCGAAGGCGCCCCTTATATAGAGAAAGCATCGCGTCCTGGACTGTACCACTTCGAAGCAAAAAGAGAGGACCCTTGGCTGGAAATGACACCTTCCCGCGCCCTCGCTCATAAAAACGCGTTAGAAGAAATTAGGGTTGATTTTTTTTTAAATCTCAGATCTATGGAAATAATTTTTGCTCGCTTTCCGGGATCCCCCCCTTTGGATTGATGGACATGGGAGAGTCCACTTTTTCTTTTGCAAAGTGGTACCTTCCGCCTTCCCTTGGCAAAGGGGTAGCTTCCCCCTTTCTGTGCAAAGTGGTACCTTCTCCCTCAGTGGTACCTTCAACTACGGGCGACTGCAAAAAACTCCTCCCCCCTCCTGTTTTTGGCTAGTGGTTCTTCCCACCTCCATCGCCCTCCCCTCTCTCGGAGATGATCCGCCCCGTTGCTATAGCGACAGATTCCTCTGCCGCCGTTTTCCTCCGCCTTCCCTCAATGGTTTGTTCGAAAAAGGGGGGGGCGTTTTTCCTCACAGATACAAGAACATGAATTTTCCACCTCTCTCCACACTTAGAATTTCCCTCTATGTGTTACGACTTAAGGCGGAGGCCTACCTAATTATAATAGGGCTAATAAAATTAATATTTATCCTGCTTAAATACTGAACTTATATTTACAAACAGGTATTTATTCCGACATTTGTGGGACGGTTCTTCCTTACTAGTCTTTTCCGGCTCCTTTTTTCCCCTCAGGAAAGACTGTCCCCAATTCCTCCTCAATTTCAAGCAATGGTTCCTTCCAACAGCCATGCTTTAAGCTCAATAACATCTCCCGCTTGCAAATTCTCCTCCCCTCAGAGGGGGCGCAACGGCCCGTTTCCTCTCATCTCGCGAGAGTTGCGCCAATTCGAAACCTCGCTCATCTCGCGCAGCCCTCCTTCTCGCCTCGGCCCCGCCCTTTCCCCTCCGTCCTCTCACGAGATATGGAGGATGAACGCGGAGAGCTAACTCCCTCTCCACCCGCCCCTCCAGTTTCCAGCCCCGCCCTCTCGCGAGAACTTGTGACGCGCTCGGAAAAAAAAGCCTCTGCCGAGCTTCTAAATAGTACTTCCGGTTCCGGGTGAAAGGTCGTGGTGGGAGGCTCGGAGAGGCCGGCGGGTTCCCTTTTCCCCCTCCCCCGTTTCCGGGAGCCGCTGCCTCGCCTGGAAGGGAGATGGAGCGGGAGTGAAGCCTTGGCGGGACCTCCCGACCCCTTCCCTCTCCCCTTTCCCTGCCACCGAGGCGCCTGAGCGCAGGGAAGGCCGCAAGCCACGGAGTGAGTGATTGACGGGCCGGGGGGGCGGGGCTCGAGGGGCTCCCGGGGAGGGGCAGCCCCCCGGTTCCTTGGAGGGCGTGGGGAGGAAGGCTCTGGCCACGCCCCTGTGAAGGGCTGGGCTGGCGGCGGCTTCTGGCCACGCCCCCAATGGAACGCTTGTTCCTCTTGCCGCACTCCCATTGGCGGGCAATGTGAAGGAGGCAGGGATATTTCTTTGGCCACGCCTCTATGGAACCTTTCCAGCCACGCCTCTATCCGCCTGGCCACGCCCTTCCTGCAGCAACCACACCCTAGCTCCAGAAAGGCAGTGGGAGGAGTGTCATTTGGCCACACCCCTGGGGGGAGGGGGCAGTACTGGCCCCGCCCTCTCCAGCCATTCGACTTCAATACTGTATCTTATTACTGAACCCTGTACTGTAGCCTGCTTTCCTTTCCCCCCTAGACCACGCCCACTTTTAGCCCCACCTACTATGTTGGGGGGTGTCAGGATAGGGTCCCCCTTGAACCCTGTCCTGCCTTTGGTTGCTTCCTCCTCCTCCATGTTTTGGACCACCAAGTCCCATGGGCAGCGATTGTTCCTGCTGATGGGACTTGCAGTTCTCAGTTTCTGTTTAAATTGTGCCTGCCTTCAGATCCATGAGGACCAGGAACCTCTTTGGGTTTTAAGGAAAAGGCTGGAGGGTGGAGGTGGCAGTGTGCCTGCTTCCCATCCAGGAGGTCTAGTGTGGTCGTGATGGGGCTAGAAGCCAGGGTCCAAAAATCTTGGGAAGTCACAGCACAGCCAGTAATCTTCCCGAGGGTCCCATCCTGAACCCCTTTCCGAATCGAGAATAAAAAAGCTGGAAGAACCGTTGTTATGACTTGGTTTAAGGCAACCCTTTGGGTCTGTCAGGCCTGCTGGACAAAGAGACCCTTCTTGGCACAATTGGAAATGCTTCCCCTTCCCCTCATCCTGCAGAATCGCTCTTTGCAGCCGCCTACAAGAGTGGCTGTGTTGCCTTCTCCCATCGTTCTCGAAGTCTGACACCCGTTCAATTGCTTCAGCTCCATCCTTGGGAGTCCTGGTGTGTGTGTCCAGAAAGAATTAGGAAAAGACCATGCGACTCAGAACCACCCAAATTCAGGAGTTGGGTGAGACCTTTATTGAACCACAAGAAAAGGAAAGGGAGAAAAATCACACAAATTTCAAGTTTGCATGAGTCAAATCTCACTTCTCATGGATGGTGCGGAAAAATTGCAGAGTAGAATGTCACAAATTCGTGGCGGATGGTCTGAGCTGACTTTGCTTGTAGGAGGCGAGTTAAAGTCTGCTGGGTTTCGAGCACCCTTTCTTGTAGTAGGGTTGGAACATTTTATCCCAAACTCCAAAGGACTTACTAATTAATCTCTGATTAACCCCCGCCCCCGAATCTCTTTGCTTGCTCCTGAAACGTAACGTTTCTTAGGGGCTAGAGATTGACCATTGCCATTTTCTAATGGACTTAACCATTCTCTGCTAGAGCGCTGTAGCGCTAGAGTGCACGACGGAGCACTCTCATGGATACCTTATAGTAGCATCACAGAATCATGCTGTCGGAAGAGGCCAACAAAGGCATCGAGTCCAACCCCTGCTCAGGGCAGGGATCCAAATCCAAGCAGACCTGGCAGACGGTGGTCCCATTTCCTCTTTGAATGCCTCCGCCACTAGAGTGCTCACCAGTGTCACAGGTCCTGTTCTCGTACTGCTCCAACGATTGAGAAGTTCCCCCCCCCCCGATATTCAGCTGAAATCTGGCTTCCTGTCGCTTGAACCTATTGTTGTGTGTCCTGCTCTCTGGGAGGATCAAGGACAGATCCTGCCCCTCCTCTGTAGGATGACCTTTCTGAGTATTTGCAGAGTGTTTTCTTATCTCCCCTTTGTCTTCTTTTCTCAAGGCTGAACCTACCCAATTTTTCCGGTCTTTCCTCTGCTGAGGGCTTGGTTTCCAGTCCCCTGATCATCATCCTCTTGGTTGCCCTCCTCTGAGCTGCTTCCAACCTATAGTGACAGTTCTTGTCCTGTGGCATCGCTCTCACCATTACATCTCCATTTTAGGGAATCCAGAGAAGTGGGAGGGACTTTGGAGTCTTTATGCTGGAGAGCCCTGGTGCCTGCAGGACAGCTTTGTGTTTTAGTTCGCCAGAGGTTGGGAGTTCGATTCCCTCCCCACGGTACCTCCTTGACAGGCTGGACTCAATGATCCTTCCAGCTCTACTGTCCTAAGATTATTTCTCCCCCTCTGAATTACAAACCCATCATCAAACCCCAAATCCTAGCCTTCCATAGGATGGAGCCGAGGCAGTTAATGGGGTGTCAGACTTGATGAGCCATGTAGTGGCTGAACGGATGGCGTTGTGGAGGGAAGTGTGTGTTTTAAGCCAGTGCCTTTGCTAAACCGATTCCCACAAATTGCGCACATGCACACCCCCTTTCTGTTGTTGAATTTTTCTTCTGTGTATCCCTCTTCTAGTTTCTTACCCTGTCCAAAGCTCGCTTAGCAGTTCATGCAGAAAATCAAGAGGGCTCGGCTGGAAAACGAAAGTGCAGGAAGTTGGAGAAGGTAAGTTTTTTTCCCCAACACCGGTTCGGGTGGTTTCCGGAGCTGTGGGTCAGTTCCGTTGGTTTGGAGAATCAACTCACGCCGGTGATCTCCACAGTCTAGTTTGTTGGATGTGGTCAAAGAAGACTCACCTGTTCGGGTCTCAGACTCTCCTGCTCCAGAAATACACCTGGAAAGGAATACACTTGAGGTGTGTTTCCTTCAAAACGCTTTGAATCCTTGTTCTGTGGTCTTGCCTCCCGCCTAGAATATGGGGAGGTTGATCTGCGGGAAGCTGCTTGGCCAGCAGTTGGTGCTGCAGTAGAAGAAGTAGTGAGAGGACGGGTGGGAAAAGATGTGTGGAAGACGGAGGCCTTTTGGAATATGCTTTTCACACCAAAGGACTTCCTATTGGCTTGTGCCTAGAGCTGTTCAGGTCAGAGCCTGATCTCAGCTCTCTGGCCTGACCGTTTTGGGATGTTCATTAAAAAAATTTTCTACCCTGTGCCTGATGAAGTGAATTGTTATAGAATGGTTGAGTTCGAAGGGGCCTCTTAAGGCCATCTAGTCCAACTCACTGCTCAAGGCAGGGATCCAACTCAAAGCAGATTGGACAGAGGGTGGTCCTGCTGGAGCGCTCACCCCCTCCCTGTGAGGTCATGGATTCCCGTTGTCATACTGCTCTAACATTTAGGACATTTCCCCTGATATTCACCCGAAATCTGGCTTCTCTTACTTGAGCCCATAGCTGTGTGTCCTGCACTCTGACCTAGAATATGGAGAGGTTGATCTGCGGGAGGATAGAGGACAGATCCTGCCCCCCACCTTTCTCTTTCAAGAGTGCTCTCCTCTCTCCCCTCCGTCTTTTTTTCTCAAGGCCGAATAGGCCCAGTTATTTCCGCCTTTCCTCCTCATAGGGCTCCCGTTTCTAGCCCCCTGATCATCCTCCTTCTTGCCCTCCTCTGAATTTGTTCCAGTTTGTCAGCATCCTTCTTAAAGTGCGGTGTCCAGAACTGGAACACAGGACTCGAGAGGAGGGCTAACCAGTGCCGGATAGAGGGGAAGTAGTAGCTCCTGAGACGCTGCTTCTGCTAATGCATCCTAAAATAACACTGGCCTTTTCTGCAGCCACGTCACACGGTGGGCTCATAATTCAGCTTGTGATCTACAGAGACTCTTAAGATCCCGCTCACTCATGGTATTAAGTATTCACCAAAGCTTTTGTTGAATGTCTGATTTGAGCAGTCTAAATAAAGGTCCCCATTCTCCTACATTTAGATTGTGCGGAGGACCACACGGTGGTCTCTGTTTTTCTCTCCCCCCCACCCCAGTTTTCTTAGTTTTTCATTGTGTTTCTAGGGTAGTGGAGGGAAAGGTTTATCTCATATTGGTGGGTCGCAAAGCAAAGCTTGCTGCTTATATACTGCCCCATAGCATTTACAAAAACCCTCTGGGCAGTTTACAATTTAATGATCCAGGCTACACATAACTCCCCCCCCTCCCCAGCAGGCCAGGTACTCAGTTTACTGAGCTTGGAAGGATGGAAGGCTGAGTGAACCTTGAGCTGGCTGCCTGGCATTGAACCTGGATTGTGAGCACAGTTTTGGCTGCAGTAGAGTTTTAACCACTGCCCCATGAGACTTGTCCACCAACCAATATGTTTATTATACGTTGCTAGCAGGAAAAGCCCAGGCCTGCATTATTTTAACTCGTTTTAGGTGGAGGAGCTGTTGTCAATTCCTTTAAACTGCGGGTTGGGTTGGGTTGGGTTGGGTTGGAGGGAGGGAGAGAGAATAAAAGAGATCAGCAAGCGTCACTCTACAGCGAGCAATTTTAAGCAAAATGTGTTTGGAGTTCTCTTTTGTCAATTTGGGTTTTTGCTCAGGCTGCAGTTGCTGAGGATGGGATTTGAGGTCCCGGAGGCAAACAGGTGGTTGAATGAAGCCGAGTTCAACCCCGGGACAAGAAGCTAGGAATTTTGGGTAGTGGCCGAAAAGGGGTTGATTTTAAGAATAAGCTGTGTTATGTTTTAAACAGCTGGGGTGCAGATTTAAAATGTAAAACTTTGCAAATTTTAAAAATTTCTCTAACATCACAGTAGTGAAGTTGCAGATTGGTAGAACATGGTAAAACTCGAAATGTGTAGGATTTAGTAAATTTGTAGAATTTAGCAAAATTCTAAATTCGTAGCATTTAGTAAATTCGCAGCATTTAGTAAATTCGTAAAATTTGCAGAAATTTTACATTTGTAACCCTTGAAATCAGCAAAATTGTCGATTTCTCTTCCCTGTGGCTGCCCATTTAGCCTCTCTTTGCTGGGAAGTTCTTTACTTTTTCTTTTTTTCCAATTCCCGTCCTCCGGTGAAATTATCGGGGTCGGCCTCGTTTCCCCGACCAGTTCCTTGACGAGTTCGGGAGGAAGGCCCAGGATGACGGCGGTGGAGGCCCTGTCGGAGAACCCGGAGGCTGTCGAGATGGAGGACCCGTCGGCTTCCCGCTTCCAGGTGGCCAAACATTCATGGGAAGGCCTGCGGGACATCATTCACGGCAGCCGGAAGTACACGGGGATGATTGTGAACAAAGCGCCCCACGACTTCCAGTTCGTCCGGAAGACGGACGAAGCGAGCCCTCACTCCCATCGGCTGTATTACCTCGGTGAGACTGGCAAAGCCACGGTGCTCTGGCCGTTTGGCTAGTGGCAGGGCAGAAAGCTCTGCGTCCTTCTTTCCATCCTGTTCATTTATTCCGTGGTTCCCAGTCTTGAGTCCCTGGATGTTCTCGGACCACCACTCCCAGAAACCACGGCCGCGGTGCAGCTAGCGGTGAAGGCTTTTGGAAGTCGAAGTCCAAGAGCATCCGGGCGCCATCCTTCTTTTCTCCCGAAACTGGGACTTGACCTAACTTACCCATGGGTTTAAATGGATATGGATGAAAGCCGGCGCTTTTAAAAGGAACACCAAAATACAACTTAAGATTTCCATTGATTTTTAAGGTCCTGTTGAATTAAGAACCATTTCAGAAAGGAAATTTAAAAAAGAGTTTGGCAGAAATCTGCTGGAAGCTCTCTTTCTTTTTTTAAACAGCTCTCTTGTCCCCCTTTGATACCTTTCTCGAAAGCTGAGGGGGCTCGTTTTGATCCTTGTAGAGGCTCGCTTTTCCCCCCCAAACGTTTTCCTCCATACACCCCCTTCCAGGAACAAAAAGCTACAGAGGACCACATTGTTAGATTGATTGCTAAGGGCCATGGAAGGGGTTCTTAAGAGCACTGGCTTTTCACCTCTGTCATGTTGGCCCCGCCTTCCTTCCTTTTTGGACAAAATATATTTAAAAAACCATGATGTATCCCAACATTCAGGATTTATCCTTGTAGGAGATCCACGTATTGTACTGGGTTATTCTTCTAAAGACGCTGCTCTACAGAGAATTCTTACGATGCAACCCTGCCTGATTCTTTTGTACTTCCTGCCCTGTATTTCGAGAGGACACCTCTTGTCCTTTCCTGGTTTTACTTATCACTCGGTTTGCTTTCCAATTTCATGGCTTGTCGCATTTCATTATTAGGCTGTGAACGGCCCAGAATAGGGCTTTGGAAATTGACCAATCTAAGAAAGAAAGAAAAGGAAATTAATAGGTTTTTTTTTTAAAGCAGTTTTAATGAGGATAGTAACCTCCCTCTGTTTGGTTAAACGGTATCTTAAGTGTCTGTTATTTTTTTTTAAAGTTGATTGAGATTCAACGCTTTTAAATATTGGATGGGAAACAATAGAATGGCGTTCCTAAGCTGTTCCTCTCTTCATTTTAAGAGTACTGGTTAACTATAAGCATGGCTTCCTTCCTTTTATCCATCATCTCCCTTCCTTCTTCCCTTCCTCCTTCCCTCTCTCGTTGTCGCTCCTTCGCCAGGAATGCCTTATGGAAGCCGGGAGAACTCCCTCCTCTACTCGGAGATCCCAAAAAAGGTACGGAAGGAGGCCCTCCTCTTGTTATCCTGGAAACAGATGCTGGATCACTTCCAGGTGAGGCGTGTTCGATGGTGTGCCGTTTCCACGTTGGTGGGAATCCAGAACTCTGTCCTGGGCAGAAGAACCGTATAGGAATTTCTCATTGAGCTTTAGACCCACGTTTTAGGACGTTTTAATCTCTACGAACTAAAACGTTCGAATATGTTTATCTGTATCTATTAAATGTGTCCTCTATTTGCAATTGAGTACAGTAGGACCTCTTTATCTGCGGGACCGGTATCTGCTGATTCACTTATCTGCGACCTGAAAATATTATAGAATAACAGTGTTTCCTACTGTTATTCTTAAATGCTACCTGGATAGCCTCAGTGCTTCAGGTCTCTGACCGGGCAGTCAGTGGCTTCTGGGCCTTTTCTCATTGCTTTCTGAATCGTTGGACGTTTGTTCCCCAAAACGACTGCCAAGAGCTGCTGTTGCTGTGGTCCACAGCTTAAACCAAAGGCGCTCCGTTTCCAGAGGTCCCTGTGGTCCTCCCTCAGAATCTAGAGGGGTTTGCCCCCTCCGAGTGTCCCCCTCCCGGTTTATTTATTTATTTATTTATTGGACTTATATACCGCCCCATAGCGCTACAAGCACTCTCCGGGCGGTTTACAATCGGGGTTTGCCCCCTCCGAGCGTCCCCCTCCCAGTTGCCCCCATTTATTCAGTTTTTTCTTTTAAACGAAGAGTGTGTGTCTGGGTTAAAGTCCATTTCTCTCCCTGACTCAGGCTGTTGCTCCCATTTATTCAGTTTTTCCTTTTAAACGAAGAGTGTGTGTCTGGGTTAAAGTCCATTTCTCTCCCTGACTCAGGCTGGCCTACTTGACAGGGTTGTTGGGAGGGTTTGAACGGGAAGGAGAGCCGTGTATGTTGTTTTTAGTGCCCTGGGAGTGGGGGGAAGATGGGGTGTCAGAGCATCTGTTGAACAACAGGAGGCCCTCGCTCCCCAGCTGCCTGCTCTGGGGCGACTACAGTGCCCATCAGCCTTGAGACCAAGAGCAGGGTCGATGGTTAGACCCTTCCCCGTGCACTGGGCCAGGGAAGCATCCTATTTTTTCCTCCACCCTCAATAGCTCTGTATTTTGCTGGATCTGGAGCGGGCCCCTGGCGGGGTCTCGGACTCCCGGTCCCATTGTCCCCCGCCAGCGAAGCCTGGCCGCGGTGGCTGCTGGGAGGTGGAGTACAGCATGGCCCGGGGGTCGGGGGGGGGAGGCCCACCTTGGAAAAGGAAGGGCGTTCCAGCGAGTGAGGTGACCGGAGTCCCTTTGGGGGCGTTTGCGCTTCTGGACTCACGCCCGTCTCCCGCTCTCTCTTTCCCCGTTGGCTCCGGCGGCTGATCCGTGCCAGGCCACCCCCCACCACGGGATGTACTCCAGGGAGGAGGAGCTGCTGAGGGAGCGCAAGCGCCTCGGGGTCTTTGGGATCACGTCCTACGACTTCCACAGCGAGAGCGGCCTCTTCCTTTTCCAAGCCAGCAACAGCCTCTTCCACTGCCGGGACGGGGGCCAAAATGGATTCCTGGTGAGTCTCCTCGTGGATCGGGTGGCGGGGGGGGCAAGCAGGCGCACGCCTTCGCCCCCACCTCCTGCGGGAACCCACGGCCATCGCTGGAACGGTGGGAGAGCTCCCAGGGTTTGAGGTTTCTGGCTGCGGAGGCTGAGGGTTCGAATCTCCCGCGGTGCCTCCTTGACCGGGGCTGGACTGGATGATCTTTAGGGGTCCCATCCAGCCCTGCAGCTCTCAGAGGATGATTCCCCCCTGGGGAGGGAAAGGGGGATGGAGGGATTCGTTGCCTTGAAGCCACCAGAGCCACAAACCTCTTGGGTGGAGTTGACAAGAACCACGTCAGCTGTCAAGAGGGTCTACTCAGATTGCCTTGAAGCCACCAGAGCCACAAGAACCACAGAGTTGACAAGAACCACGTCAGCTGTCACGAGGGTTTAACTCAGGATCCCCTCTCGGGCTCAGCTGCAGAGGACAGGAGTTCGAATCCCCCGCTGGACCTCTTTCACAAGGGCTCAACGCGGTGATTCTTAGGGGTCCCTTCCAACTCTGCAGTTCTCCAATGATGACGATTTTTAAGGAGGTAGCTTCGTGGGTGCCAAAGATCCTTGTGTCGCCTTTAACCCTAAACATTTTAGTTGCCAAAAGAGTTTTGTGGGATGTATGGATTTTTCCCGCCGCCCAGCTGCGTTTATTTACGTGCAGTTGTTCTGGTTATGGAGAGTGCAGAACAGAATGAAGTAAGAGGCAGAAAAAGCAGCTATTGCAATTATCATCAACACTGGTTTTAAACTTTTTAAAAAAGTCCTTGTTAAGTGTAAAGATCCTGGCAAGAGTGGGTCAGTTACACAAATCCGTGATCTGCTGAGGAAGGGCAGGATCTGGCCCCAATCACCCCAGAGCGCAGGCTGCATCATCATGGGCTCAAGCGACAGGAAGGTTGCAAATCAAGGAGTCTTGTCTTGATTCCCCGTTATCAGCATCTCTGGGTTGGGCACCATCATGTGGCAGTGAGTTCTGCAGTTTAGCCTTGCAACATATGGAGAGAAAAAAAGTCTGTTCCTCTCTCCTAAGCAGCCCATGGAGCAGAATAACACCGTTGTTTTTTTCATTATTCCAATAAAAGTGGAAGAATGCGGGGGGGGGAGCTCTTTTCCTTCTGCTCCTTTCCCGTCATCTGTGAGCCTGAACCTGTCTCACCTGCAGGTCTCCCCCATGAAGCCGCTGGAGATCAAGACGCAGTGCTCAGGGCCCCGGATGGACCCCAAGATCTGTCCCGCGGACCCGGCTTTCTTCTCCTTCATCAACAACAATGACCTGTGGGTTGCGAACCTTGAAACCGGAGAGGAGAGGCGGATGACGTTCTGCCAGAAAGGTAGTCAAACAAACAAACAAACAAACAAACAAACAAACAAATAAATCCATCCATCCATCCTCCGGCCCCTGGCGGTGTGTTTGGCATGCCACCCACAAGCCTTTCCTGCCGGGGGGGGGCATCAAAACCATCCCTAACTCAGTGTTTTTCGAGAGGCAAGCAATCATGGAATCATTGAGTTGCAAGGGCTCTCTAAGGGACTTAAAAAAACCCCAACCATCCCCTAACTCAGTGTTTTTCGAGAGGCAAGCCTGGCCTCGTTTGCTGAGTTGTTCCAAGAGATGCAGGTAAGGATGTTAACTCGGTGCCCAGAACTTCCAGTATTGCTAGTTAATGTAGTTTTCTACATTACTTTTAAGTAATCTTGCTTTTGCTAGTAAGGGTCCGGAATAGAAGGCCAGACGGTCTTAACCCCATAAAAAGCTGGATCTGAGGCTCCAGTTTAAAAGCGCTCATTTATTCAGAACCTTGAGGACTAGCGCCCTGCTTTATCAGGGGAAAGACATAGTTTTGCAGGGTGCGGCTCCTAAGTGGGTGCCCTGTTCCTTCCAACCCTTGGGACCTGGAAGAAAAGAACCAAAATGGGAAGTTGGAAGCCTCGGTCTTTTTCGAGAGTAACTCTGGGTACCTCTTGCCCCTTTACAACCATCAGTTTCTGCCCAATAAAATCCAGGGAGGAGCACAGGAAAGAACTCGCGAAGGGTTTAATCTGCACCATTTTTACAAGTTGGGCCAGGAAAGGCGGAAGGGTTGCTGTTGGTTTGGGGCCCATGAGACTTGAGTTTCATGGATCGGTGATCTGTCCAGAGTAGTTTTAGGGAAACGGCGTGTTGTTTGGGTGCTGGTGGAGGCTTTCCTAAGGTAGAATGAGCTGCTTTGTTGAACCAGAAGAAATGGAGCGACGAGGATCAGCAGAGATCCCGGATGTCAGAAAGCAGCCTCATAGGTCGGGCCTCCCAGGCCCCGAAATGTCACGGCATCTCGCTTTCCTCCCTTCCGCAGGCTTATCCAGCGTGCTGGACGACCCGAAATCGGCCGGCGTCGCCACCTTCGTCATTCAGGAAGAGTTTGATCGGTTCACAGGGTACTGGTGGTGTCCCACGGCGTGTCAGGAAGGTGGGTGGTTCCGACAGTCCTCGTTTTGGATGGCAGGGTTTGGGAAAATCCGTCTTTGTTTAGAACCAGAGGAGGCAAACTCCCCCCCCCACTCGGGTTGTGAGCCCCCCCAAGCTAGATGATTATTTGGCAAGCCTGTTTTTTAAAGCCTTTGGATCAGCCAGAAAAAAACTCCTTTCATTCCTTCTGTGCAATCGGGAAAATGGACTTTATAAAAGGAAATATGCAGAAGGGGAAAGAAAGGGAGGAAGGAAGGAAGGATATAGCTGATGGACAGGTCTTGCATGCAATTCTGTCTCTTCCTATCTCTCCATCTCAAAGCTGATCTAGTCATTGTGCTGGACTTCAGGCCGGTCTGATTTCTTGAAACGGAGAGCCACCTTCCCTTCCCATCTCAAGGCTGATCTAGTCATTTTCCCTGTGCTGGACTTCAGGCTGGTCTGATTTCTTGAAACGGAGAGCCACCTTCCCTTCCCGTCCTTTTCTTCCAGGTCCTGAGGGCTGGAAGACATTCCGGATCCTCTATGAGGAGGTGGACGAGTCAGAAGTCGAGGTCATCCATGTTCCTTCACCTGCTCTGGAAGAAAGAAAGACCGACTCCTACCGGTATCCCAGAACAGGTCTGTAGGAACGAGGCAGGAGGACATTTGGAGTGTGTGTGTGTCTGTGTCCCTTCTCTGGTCTGGTGGAAACCCCGTTTTAAAAGATGTGTGCAGTCTATGCCACCAAACCCAGCCTGGGGTGTGTGTGTGTGTGTCACAAAATCCTTGGATTCAGGCCCCCGTTCCCTCCCCTCCTCTGCCCCGCGACCCAAAGTATCTCATTGAGGGAACTGCAGCCGGTGGCCACTAAGTCAAGGGTCTAAAACCTTTCGGGGACCCTTATTTTAACTGTATATCTAACATATCTGACCGATAATAACAATAACGTCAATAGTTTTGTGGATCAAAGGGCGAAGGCAGCGTTGCTTTCGTAATCAAGGCCGGGCCGAGCATCAGATGGTTCACCTGAGTTTTGCCTTACCTGGACTAGCTTTCCAGAGGCCTGGCTGATCTTTCAAAACTTTAGTCACGGAAGTTCAGATTTTTTTTTTCAAATTTCACATTCCCTTTTTTAAAAAATAGGTCAATCTCAGAGGGTGCCCGGTGTGGTGGAGAGAGGGATGGACACAGGACTCGGGAGCCCCGAGTTCAAATCCCCCCTTCCACCATGGAGACTCACTTGGTGTGTGTGTGGAACTGGTAAAAGCACTTCTTAAATACAGTCGCCTCCTCCCGTATCTGGTGGGGCGATTGGTTCTAAGCCCTCGCGTGGATGATGAAAACCACGGAAAATGACAGCTCTATATAACATGGTACTGTGTTTCCCTGACAATAAGACAGAGTGTTATATTAATTTTTGCTTTCAAAAAAACGCATTAGAGCTTATTTTCAGGGGATGTTTTATTTTTTTCATGTACAACCATCTACATTCATTCAAATACAGTCATGTCATCTTCTTTTGGCTGCTGCACAAGGGTGGAGGGTGGAGTTTCCCTTAACATGGGGCTTATTTTGGGGGCAGGGTGTATATGACAAGCATCCTGAAAAATCCTACTAGGTCTTCTTTTCAGGCTCTTATTTTCGGGAAAGCGATAAAATTTAAAAACTCCAGCAAAAAGTATTTTCACAATGTATTGACCAGAACTGGCCATTAGGGGGAGCCAGAGACTATGCTTTGTATTCTTCAACCACAGACTCCCTCTAGTGGCCAGTTCTGATCACTACATTGTGAAAATACACATTTCTAGATTCCTCCACCCCCGTTTAATGTTTTCAGACTCCAGATAAGCGAAACTGTTCATATTGATCTCGTATGTGTGAGATCAGTATGTACAGTTTCGCTTATCTGTATTGATCTCGGTGCGTGTGTGTTCTCCTAGATCTCGCCTCGAAAGCCCTATTAGGGCTGCTATAAGTCGGCCCAGGACGGTGTCAAAAATCTAAAAAGTCCCCAAAACTTCAGCTCATCTATGTTTCTCTCTCTCCTCTTTTCCAGGTAGCAAGAATCCCAAGATTTCATTAAAGTTGGCAGAATTTCAAGCAGACAGCCACGGCAAGGTAAGGCAGACCTCCGGTCTGTTTTCTTGCCTATGCAAGGAAGACCCTTGAAATGGGAATGCCTGCCTGGTGGGAACCGGATTCGCTGCAGGCTTCCTTGTTTTATCTTGGGGGGCGGGGTCCTAATACGTCCTGCATCGGAGTTTCCTAGACCAAAACTTTATTTATTTAAAATATTTTTATCCCGCCTTTCTCCTGAAAAAGGTGGCTAATGTCATTAAAAAGATAAAACATGCTAAAAACAGTAGGTATGCGGATATTTTAAAATAATTAAACATTTGTTACATTAAAAGCAGTAATAGAAATCCGTGTTTGGGCCTCCAGAGGTTTTTGGACTGCAACTCCCAGAAATCCTGGCCAGTCACCGCTCGTGGCAAAGACTTCTGGGAGTTGTGGTCTAAGAATATCTGGGGACCCCTGGCCTGGAAGAATCCAGGTTTCTTTGGGTTTTTTTTAACTGGGTTGATCTCCAGGGTGGCCACTTGAACCCCTAAAAAAAAGATAACCTCTAAGCTACCACAGAAGAGGTGACAGGACTGCCGTTTTTGTGCTTTGCTGTCATGCGTGCGCGTTCTACCACTTGGGTGACCGGATGCGTCCTTGATTTACGAACACATTTTTGGGGATCGAAATTTGGTTCTTTGTGCGCGAAGGAATGCACGAACGAATGCAAGTGGTTTCAAAAGAGGGATTCTTTGTACCAAATTTAGCTTAAAAAAGGGTTCGGCTTCCTAAATACACACACACACATTTGTGTAATCAAAGTTATAATTACAATTTATATTTATATAGAAATGATTGCAGGAGTTCTCATGGGCCTCCATCTACAAAAGTTTGTGTTGCAGTAGGATATTTTTGTTACGCGTCCAGGAGGATTCCTGTACAGTGGTGCCTCGCATAGCTAGGTAAATCTGTTCCGGATTAACCTTCGCTATGTGAAAACTTCGCTAAGCAGAAAGAAAAAAGCCATTGGAACGCATTAAACATCGTTTAATGCGTTCCATATCGGCACAAAACTCACTGTTTAGCGAAGTTTCCAGGGTCCGGCAGCCATTTTCGCGCTCTCGGTAAGCGAGGGGAGGGCGCGAAAACGCTGCGAGCGGCCATTTTGAGTGGCCGGCAGCCATTTTGGAGCCACTGAACAGCTGATTTTCGGGCATCGCAAAGCGAAGATCTGTCAGCGAAACGCTTACCGATCTTCACTATGCGAGTTTCGCCCATTGGGGCCGACGCTATGCCTCCGCATTAGCTATCCCGGAAAAGGGATCGCTATGCGGATTCGTCGTTATACGGTGCACTCGTTAAGCGAGGCACCACTGTATTAGTATCCATGGTTTTACTCTGAAATTATAAAAAAGATTAACAGGAAAAAAAAACCAGAAATACATACAGTAGGACCCCAATGTCCAGGGGCTGCCTTGTTTAATTTGGTATCAGTATTTTAAATAAAATAAAGTTACTCTTCACTAATGTTTCTCCCCCCACCCCCACCCCTTCTCTGCTTGTAGATAGTTTGCTCCCAAGACAAAGAGCTGGTGCATACCTTTGAAACCATGTTCCCCAGGGTGGAATACATCGCCCGTGCCGGGTGGACCCGGGACGGGAAGTAGTAAGTTGGCTTTGCAGTGACCTGGACAACCCCAAAAGTTAGTTAGTTTGTTTGTAATTTGTATTATCCTTTTGGGATACACACTGCGGTATAGCGGACTGAATGGCAGATTAGGACTCAGGAGAAGCGGGTTCGAATCCCCGCTCCGCCATGGAAATACTTAGGTGGGGGATGAAACCATTCCTTAAAGAATTGACGTGATTTGAGCGTCCTGTTAGCAACCTGTGGATTCTGTCTTGATGGCCAAGAGCCGCAGCTTCTCTTTCTGTGCTCAAGGCAGAGGAGCGAACTGGACGCCAAGCAGGTGGTTCCTAATGCGGATCCACGACTCTGTTTATACCAGCTCATCTCCGGCACTCCTTCTCGGTTCAATTCTGTGCCAGAAAGGCTGTTTGTCGTGACAGCGAGATACAGATTTTAATTTTTGGTGTGGGGGGAGCATTGTCTCCGTTCAAGCCTCCGAGCTTTGGAGCCTTCCTGTAAAGTTCAGATGAAAATCCAGAGTGGATTTTCCCCACTCTGTGACATCCGAGCCGTTGTGCCCCTGGGCTTGGCTCGCCTCCGGCGTGGCGATGCCCCTGGGGTCCAGAGAACAACAACTTTGATTTTTATTGTTTTAATTTTATTTTTGTTCTCTCTTTTTCCCAAGTGCTTGGGCCATGTTCCTGGACAGGCCTCAGCAGCAACTTCAGCTGGTCCTCCTCCCTCCGGCCCTCTTCATCCCAGTCCCCGAAAGCGAAGCGCAGCGGCTGGAGTTTGCCAGAGCCGTGCCGGAAAACGTCCACCCCTTCGTCATTTACGAGGAGGCCACCGACGTCTGGATCAATGTGAGGGAACACCCTGGTGGCGGTTGAAATATCGTGGGTTAGCAGGAGAGGGACCTGGGCACTCCATTTTGGATTAATAATAACAATAATAAGAAGAAGAAGAATAAGAGTCAAGTTGATTCTGACATTCAGAATTTGATTCTGCGACCCTTTTCCAGGTGGAAGAGACTCAGAAGTGGTTTCTTCTGGTGCAGCTTGCCCAAGGCCACCCAGGCGGGGAGGCCCAGTGAGGGATTCGAACTCCCAACCTCTGGGTCCACAGCTGACCTAAACCACAGTACTGTCTAGCCAGCTCTGACATACGCTGACCAGGGTTTTCTAGATAGCGATTTCCCATTCTCCTGCTTATGGGGGGCATCCTCGGGATGGTGCGGCTTTCCCAAGGCCACCCAGGCTGGTTTTTCTGAGATGCACAGTGGGGGATTCGAACTCCCAACCTCTAGTTCCACAGGCACAGACCTCAATCCTGAGCGATCCAGCCAGCTACGACTCCCAAAACACTACCCAACAGCCACACAGATTGGGGATTCTGGCCGCTATGCTTCGATCATCGCCACCATCGTCTTAGACTATTTCTACCAACCATTCCTGGCTCTGTATTTTGGGGCTGCGTATACATTTATTTAAAAAAATGACCATGTCATCTCTCTCTCTTACATCTGAGGAAGCAGACCTAAAATCACAGTGTAAGCGTGTTGGAAGGGGCCCTCTTAAGGCCCTCGCGTCCAACCCCCTTCTCAAGGAAAGACTCGATCCAAAACAACTCATGTTAAGAGATCGCGGTTTGTCCGAACACGTTGGTCTTCCTTATTTTTAAATATTTTTCCTTTTCTTTTCCCGATCCGATCCACTTAAAATAGGCAACTTTTCCTGTTTCTTATAAAAAGCCATCAATTGCAGGCTGACAGAAGGGGGGGGGAGTGTAGCCGCCACTGAACAGGGAGGGGGGAACCCCCAAACTCTCCCATGAACTGTAGTTAAAGCTGTCGACTGATGCATTTTGATTTTTTCCCCTGCTAGGTCCATGATATTTTCTACCCCTTCACCCAGCCCGAAGGGGAGGAGGATGAGCTGCATTTCCTCCGTGCCAATGAATGTAAGACGGGTTTCTGCCATTTGTACCGGGTCACGGCCCTCCTGAAACGGGGCAGCTACGACTGGACCCGGCCGTACGTCCCGAGCAAAGGTACGCCTGTACGTCCCACTTTCGTCTCCCAACCTGGCCCGTTGTGCCTGGAGAAGTGGTGTTTCCAAAAAAACTGTCCAATTCGGGGGAAATTCAAGTGGTTCCCCATATCCTTAATCGGCCAGCGCGTACGTAGGTTGGGGTTTCCCAACCTGGGGTCCCCCGGATGTTTTTCGACTACAACTTCCATAAAGCATGGGTCGGGGTGAAGGCTTCTGGGAGTCGGAGTCCCTAGGTTGGGACCCCCCCGTCGCAGGGGAATAAAGATAAAGTGCATTTTACGCCGCAGGTCTATTGGTTCCTTATTTAGGTGTGAATCTTAAAGAAATTTGCTTGACTCTGGAACTCCCTGCCACTGCAGGCCAGACCGGCCCCCTCTTAGCTGTCCTTCTGCAAGCAGCCAAATACCTTTCTCTTCAGGCAATCTTTCCCTGTGCGACTGGCTTTGGATCTTACTGTTTGGATCTGTTCTTGGAGTTGCTTTTATTTACTCTGTCTCTCTGTCTCTGTGTATTTGGCTTTTTTACATTTTTGGTTGACTTCCATTGTCAGCTTTAAAAAGGGGCTCTTAAATGCTGTAAGCCGCCTTGTGTCTTTTTTAAGGAGAAAGGTGGGGTCGGAATAGTTAAAATAATTTTTTTTAAAAAAATAAAAAATAAAAATTTAATAAAACAAAAAATTTAATGAAATAATTTTAAAATAAAAATTTTAATAAAATATTATTTAAAAGAAAAGAAAAGAAAAGAAAGAAAAAACTGTGCCGTGAAAAGACGAATCAGAGGATTTAGGCTTGTTTTGAGGATGTGGGCAACGTGCAAATCGAGGTCAGCAACCGGTTTCGGGTCTGAGCGGCTCTCTCTCCGCCCCCTGCTGAGCTGTCCACCTTCCTCTTTCAGCTTAAATCATTCTCCCCCGGTTGTGAGGATGATTAAAGGAGGGAGCAGAAGACCCACGGATGGGGGCCTTCAGTTTCTTAAAGAAAGCGCCAGTTCTGAAGGAGGTGGGAAAAATGGCCTTCTCATTTCAAGACTGCCTTTCCCATCAGAACCACACCAGTGAGGTCTGCTGGGTTTAAATTTTTTTAATAAAAAAAATTTTTTTTTGCCCTGCTCATCTCCTTAACAAGGACCACAGGCGGCTCACATCCTTAAAAGACAGTATTTATAGCCGATGACAATGAAGGTACGAGTACTGAACAGGATCAAATTAAGACTGTGCTAAAAAAATAAAATAGCCACACAAAGACTGCTTTCAGGGCAAAACCACCCGTTTAAAAACTCCGCTCAGGCATCTAGTCACACAGGGAAGGCTTGCCTGCAGAGAACGGTCTTTGCCTGCTGGCGGAAGGACAGCCAAGATGGGGCCGGTCTGGCCTGCAGTGGCAGGGAGTTCCAGAGTTTTAGAGCACCCAATCTGACATTTTTGAATAAGAATTGCAAAGACGGTGTGTGTGTGTGTGTGGGGCTCCAGTGGCAGGGAATTGCACAGCCTGGGAGCAGCCACCAAGAAGGCCCTGTTTGTTGTCAGAGATCCCAGACACACATACATATATATACATGTTCAAGGCTGCGGGGCGTGTGGGACAGAGTGAAAGACCTCTCCAAAGGATCTTGACACAGGCAGGCCCATGGAGAGAAACAGCCTAAATCAAACCATAGAAGAATTTATACATCATTGCTACCTCTTTCAGTTGTGCCTGGAAACAGACCAGTAGTCAGTGACAGTTTAAGAGTAATTTAAATGGTACTCTTAACTGGGTACGTATATAAATGTTTAAAGCCAAATTTTTGTTTGCAGCAAGTGCTGCAACAAGCACAATATGAATTGTAATGTCTCTTCTCAATGGTTTCAGAATGGAAAAGGTGTAGCTCTGAATTCTCCCAGTTGAATTGGCAAAGTATTTGTCTTTGGCTGAATTATACCCATTATATGAGATGTGACCTTATTCATCTAGAATGGAAAATGTTGCACTTCTCACTAACAATAATTGCAGATACAGTTACCACAGACTTTGTGTCGGTACTAGGTTTTTTGTGTGTGTGTCAACGGAATTTCCATTATACCTAATCTGTCTCTTTGCCACTACTTTAAGCAACTTCAACAATCAGAAACATATGCATTCGTGGGGGATTCAAACTCCTAACCTCTGGCCCCGCAGCCATCTACGCTTGGGAGAAATTCTTGGGAAGAAGGAGAATCCCAGAAGTGATTTCTTTTTTCCTTGAGGTGTCCGCCAAGCAACTGGTTGTGAAACCGATCTCACAACCACACAAAGAAAAAGAGCAAACCCAAACAGAATCCTGGCTTTTGATTTTAAATGTTTGATTGTCTCACAGGCCCTCGATTTTTTCATCTGGTTTAAGAGTTCCTGTTAGCCACCTTGAATACTTTTTCTTACCGGAAAGGTGCAAACGGAAAGTCACCAGGACCAAAATCCATGTAATCAAAATAAAAGCACTTGTTTCTCCCTTCCCTTACCCGTTCCACGATGTCTATTCAAAAGTTCAGTCCTGTGAACAAGGGGGGGAAATGGCAGAGTGACCCCGGTTCACCATCTAATTTTGTATTTATTATTTTTATATACAGTGGTGCCCCGCATAGCGAGGTTAATCCGTTCCGGATTAATCATCGCTATAAGAAAACATCACTAAACGGGATGGAAAATGGCATTGGAATGCATTAAACTTAGTTTAATGCGTTCCAATGGCTTCTGTACTCACCGCTAAACGAAGTTTTCCCCATCCGCAGCCATTTTCGCGCCCTCGGTAAGCGAGGGCAGGGCGCGAAAACGCTGTGCGCGGCCATTTTGGGCGTCCGGTGGCCATTTTGAAACCGCCGAACAGCTGATCCGCGGGCGTCGCAATGCGCGTTTTGCCCATTGCGGCGGTTGGGATGCCTTCGCATTAGTGATCCCAAAAAAGGGATCGCTATGCGAATTCATCGTTATACAGTGCGCTCGTTAAGCGAGGCACCACTGTACTATGCTGCCGTTCTCCCAGAATTTAGGGCCCGAGGCAGGCAAGAATGTAGTTTTTAAATTTTTAAAGCGATTGTTAAAAAAGGATACGTTGGACTTCTGGAAAGTTTTTTTTAAGGATAATTAAAATATTCCTCCCCCCCTTTTCTATAATTATAATGTGTCATCCATCTCGACTTAAGTTGACCCTTTCCAGGGTTTTCCAGGTTCTCAGAAGTGGTTTCCCCTTTCCCTTCTTCCGGGACGGTGCAGCTGGCCCCCAAGGCTGGCTCTACTCATAAGAGGCACAGGGTGGGGTGTGTGTGCAGGATTCGAACTCTCATCCTCAAGCTCTGCAGCCGGAGACCTCCACCCATGAGCTCTCCGGCCAGCTCAATTGAAAATAGATTTAAAATCCTGAAATTCCACCCGACTGGTAAAGATTTCATGGGGGGACTGTGCTTCGCCACCCAGATTCCCGTTCAGAAAGGGTTGTGTAGCTGCCCTGTTGTGCTAAAATCCTGAAGGGTTGTGTAGGGTTTTGTAGCCCTGTTGTGTTAAAATCTTGAAGATTTTTTTCCCCTTGTGCACACTTCACCTCTCTCTCTCTGTTATTTTCCGCCCCCTCCCTGGTCCCTGCTGGGCATCAGATCTGGGTGAACGAAGAGACAAAACTGGTGTATTTTCAAGGCACGAAGGATTCCCCTCTGGAGCATCATCTCTACGTGGTCAGCTACGAGTCGCCCGGGGAGGTGGTTCGGCTCACCACCCTCGGCTTCTCTCACAGCTGCTCCTTGAGCCAGGTCTGTCTCCTCCTGGGCTTGGATTCGAACCCTCCACCCACGGCGTGCAGGACCCCCCCATGAAAAACGGGCGGTTGGGCTGGGTGGGTGGGACAGGAAACCCAGAAATGGACGGGTCCAGTTGAGCAACGTGTCGCCTTCAAAATGTCGCTGGACTACAAGGCCCATCAACCTTTGGCCAGCATGTCAGTGGAGCGGAAGAGTGGTCCAGGCACATTTTTCAAGCCCAACCCTGCTTGGGTGCGTAAAAACCGATGATTAAAAAAACACCACCACCCACAACTGTTTAAATCATTGTTTAAATTTTTTTAAAAAAAATCATTTCTTTTTGCTGGACATTGTCCAAAAATAATAATACGATTTTTAAAATTGAAGTTTTGGTTTAACTCTAATCCACGGGGCAGGGGGAGAGGAGAGGCATTGGTGGCGATGGATTGAGGGAGTTAATTTGTGATATTTTTAATCCCGTCCAAAGGGCCGCGATAGAATTAACACGGGACCACGCACCCAAGCGTCGCCTGTTAAGAAAAATAAATTAATAAAGATCACAAAGGCTAAAGCAACACTAAGGGGAAAAAATAATAATTAAGGGCAAAATACTCTAGATAATATTCAGTGTCTTTGAAGAACATCAAGTGGACAGGAAATTAAAAAAAGAAAAAAACCAGATGCTGGAGATGGGTTTATTCTGGATTAAGACCAGAAAAGGCTTGTGTGAACAGTTGGGTTTTGATTTGTTGCCTGAAGAGAAGGACGGAAAGCGGGGGGAGGTTGGCCGAACTTTAGAAGGGAGTGAGTTCAAGAGTGATGGGGCCGTCACGGAAAAGGCCCCGTTTCGGGGAGTGCATTTCCAGGAGGGGGACTGTTAGAAACCTTCGAGGATCCACTGTGGGGGTAGCGAGCCTCCATCCTAACCCCTCTATAATTTTTCTCTGCTCTCCTGCAGAACTTCGACATGTTCATCAGCCATTACAGCAGCGTCAGTACCCCGCCCTGCGTGCATGTTTACAAACTCAGTGGCTCCGATGAGGATCCCCTCCACAAGCAGCCCAGGTTTTGGGCCAGCATGATGGAAGCGGCCAGTAAGGATCCCCCTTTTTTCCTCTTTTTTTTGGTTGTGGTGGTGATGGGCGGTCCCGTCGCCTCCGACTCAGGGCGACCCCATAGACCGAGCGAAACGTCCCGTCTCCCGCAGCCCTGCTTGGTGCTTGCAAACCCAAAAGTCGTGGCTTCCTGAGGGAGTCTGTCCATCTCACATGGGGGGGGGGATCTTCCTCTTTTCCTGCTGCCTTCCCCGTTTCCTGAGGGAGTCTGTCCATCTCACATTTCCTGCTGCCTTCTCCCAGTCTCTCAGCCTTAGGGTCTTTTTCTAGAGAATCCTGCCAGCTGACAGCCTCAGCTTCAACTTTTTTTGACTCCAGAGAAAGTTCAGGCTTGATTGGATCTAGGACTCACTTGATAGTTTTTCTGGCCGTCGAGGGGGTCCCTCAACAGCCTTGCTGTTGAAACAGACACCGCGCACGCACGCACGCACGCACGCACGCACACACACACACACACACACACACACACACACACACACACTTAACGGTGACTCCTAGACCATTAAATCCACATCCTTCTGGTTACCATCTGTTTCCACTCCGACCGGCTTTAAGAAGGGTGTAAGAAAACCCTCATTTTGCGACTGGCCTCAGGTGTCCAACCCACCCTCTGGTGTTCATTTAACGGCATCCTTTGTTGACATAAATTCCTTTAGGTGTATTTACTCAACCTTCGACCCTTTTGCGGCTGGGAATTTATCTCTTTTTCTAGAGAATCCTGCCAGCTGACAGCCTCAGCTTCAACTTTTTTTGACTCCAGAGAAAGTTCAGGCTTGTTTGGATCTAGGACTCACTTGATAGTCTTTCTGGCCGTCGAGGGGGTCCCTCAACAGCCCTGCTGTTGAAACACACACACACACACACACACACACCCCTTAACGGGGACTCCTAGACCATTAAATCCAAAACCCTCTGGTTACCATCTGTTTCCACTCCGACTGGCTTTAAGAAGTGTGTAAAAAACCCCTCATTTTGCTTTGGATCTAGGACTCACTTGATAGTCTTTCTGGCCGTCGAGGGGGTCCCTCAACAGCCCTGCTGTTGAAACACACACACACACACACACACACACCCCTTAACGGGGACTCCTAGACCATTAAATCCAAAACCCTCTGGTTACCATCTGTTTCCACTCCGACTGGCTTTAAGAAGTGTGTAAAAAACCCCTCATTTTGCGACTGGCCTCAGGTGTCCAACCCACCCTCTGGTGTTCATTTAACGGCATCCTTTGTTGACATAAATTCCTTTAGGTGTATTTACTCAACCTTCGACCCTTTTGCGGCTGGGAATTTATTTGAGAAAACACAACTAGATAAGAATAAGAGCTTTAAAAGACAATGAAGGATTAAAAACATTGGAAGCTGTAAAAGCACTACTTTTTTTAAAAAAGAAAAAGAAAGAAAACGCCGTTCAGACTCTGGGTTATACGCTTGTAGGATTTTTGGCTCAAGGTAGTTTAATCCGAGTTTTATTCCGTTAAGGAGTTTGCAGATGCTGTTTTTAAGTGGAAAGGAGGGGGGTGTTACTTGTAAATAAAACCATAAATGGGCTTGGGGGGGTCTGATTTAGGGATCCGATCGGCACCCAGATTTGGCTTGGTTTGTGTTTTCAAACCCACGCGGAGGAGTGAGGCCATATGCCAGCCCGTCGGAACCCATGTGTCGTAGTTAATCCATGAAGCTGTCCGGTTGATCCTTTTTCCTGCAAAAAATATTATTATTTGGGCTTTTTCCAGGCTGCCCGGCTGATTACATCCCCCCGGAGATCTTTCACTTCCGCACTCAGTCAGATGTTGAGCTTTACGGCATGGTGTACAAGCCTCACGACCACCAGCCTGGAAGGAAACACCCCACCGTGCTTTTCGTCTACGGAGGACCTCAGGTGAGCGTCGGGGGAAACCCGTCCACCCGGATTCCCCCTCTCTAGGCCCAGAACTCGTTGGATTGAAGCTCTGAGCCGTCTGGGTTTTGCTTAAGCCAAGAATGGGGAAACTTTTATGACAGAGACGACGGATCGCTCAAGGGTTATGGTCTCATATGCGGAGCCAGAGGTTGGGAGTTCGAATCCCCCCACTGGGCCTCCTTGACAGGGGCTGGACTGGATGACCCTTAGGGGTCCCTTCCAGCTCTGCTGTTTTAAGAAGATGATGACTCGTATGATGATGTTTGTAGTGTCTGTGTTTTACTGGCCTTTAAAGGAGGCTTGTCAACTCCTACTGGGCACCTCAGTGTTTCAAGACAACAACTCCTTTCATTTCCCAGGCAGAACCCTTTCTAAAGTTGCCTTGATAGAACAGTCTTAAAACTTCCCATCCATGTGTTTTGATACCTGTTTAATTCTTTAAAAAAAAGATATTGGGATAATGTGTTGGGTTTTATTTTTAGCTTTTTTGTATTCTTGGTTTTCATTTGATTGGCATTCACTCTGGTGTAGAGTGCAGTGGGAATAGCAATAGTGATAATAGTAATAATACAAGAAGTCAGATTTTGGTTGAATATCAGGAAAAACCTCTCGAGGCTTAGAGCAGTACGACGGTGGAACCTGTGACGAGGCTTAGAGCAGTACAACGGTGAAACCCGTGACCTCGGGAAGTGGTGAGCGCTACAGCACTGTGGCGGCATTCAAGAGGAAATTGGACCATTGTCTGGTCTGATCTGCTTGGATTTGGGTTCCTGCCTTGCACGGGAGGTTGGACTGGATGGCCTCAGAGGGTCCTCCCAACGCTATTATCTTATGATTCTAAAAGTCACTGTTCTTGTTACTATTATTATTACAATGAACAGCATAAATCAGAGGTCAGCTTTTTAAAAAGGGAATTAAAAACTCTGCAGAATCCATTCGCTTCAATCTTCCCAAACAGAAAAGAAACAGGTCAGAAGCAGGTCCATGGGGAAGAAGGGGTGTGTGTGTGTTGATACGCGGCCCCCCCTCTACGTCCTTGTGTCAGGGTCGTAAAAAACTGGCCGGATTCATCACCAGGGCCAGAGGTTAACCACCCCCAGCTTAAACTTCACTGTTGATGGTAAACAGCTGTGGGGAGTAGATTTCATTTCTTAAATGAGATGCAAAAGATGCATGTTTTCAATCTTTTTGTTGGGTAAAGTAAGTTTGTTTATTCATTCATTTATTCATTTATTTATTCATTTTCCTACCTTCTAAAGAAAGGATTCAAGGCAACTTAACATCATTAAAAGACAATATTCCTACCTTCTTAAGAAAGGATTCTAGGCAACTTAACATCATTAAAAGACAATATTTAAAGACAATATCTAAAGCTAAAAACAGTAAGAACAGAAGGACCCCCCCTTCTATATCCATGGAGGTTATTTAAAAAAAAAAAAACCCAACTCCATGGAGACTGAAAAACTTGGATTATTTCGAATATTATTATGAGACCACCAAGCATGGTCTCTGGCTCCCTCTAGTAGCCAGTTCTGGGAGCTAACAGAAGGACCCCCCCCTTCTATACCCATGGAGGTTATTTAAAAAAAAAAAACCCAACTCCATGGAGACTGAAAAACTTGGATTATTTCGAATATTATTATGAGACCACCAAGCATGGTCTCTGGCTCCCTCTAGTAGCGCATTTCAAAAAAATACCAAAATAAAAATGAACAGAGCAAGTCCCACGCTAGGACTGCAAAAAAACAAAAACAAAAAAAACAACCCACACACTCACAAAATCCCACAGAAACATAACCCCCTCAGTCCAAACCCACCCTCCAAAACCCACACAGAAAAGTTTTTTTAAAAAGGACTTACCAGTCCGAAACCTGCCAACGCTCCGCTGCCTCTGCCGCGGCCGGGGGCGAACGGCCAGGCGCCCAGCCAGCTCTAGCCTCCCAGCGCTGGGTGAGCTTCGGTGGCTCCGAAGCCAAAAAGGCGGGGAGAAAGGGCGGAAAGTTCGAATTTCCTGCCCTTCCTCCCTGCCTTTGTAGCTTTCAAAGGGCTTCCTCTGATGTCGGGGGGAAAGCCGTTCGAGACCACCGAAGGCGCCGATGGCGGCGGCAGGGACCCCCCAGGGAGGTCTCCCAGGGTGGCGTGCAAGGGATAAGAGGGTCCTTACCATCTTGACCCACCATCTCTCTCTCTCTCTCTCTCTCCATCTCCCAGGTTCAGTTAGTCAATAACTCCTTTAAAGGCATTAAGTACCTCCGGCTCAACACTCTGGCCTCCCTGGGCTATGCCGTGGTGGTGATCGACGGCCGGGGATCGTGTCAAAGAGGTCTTAGGTTTGAAGGCACTCTGAAGAATCAGATGGTAAGTCCCCCCCCCATCTGCCTCCACCCTCCCAATATCCAGAACGTACTTCTTCATTGCATCTGGAACCCCGATTTCCAAAACCACCCCTGCCGGTTTCCAGCCTGCCCAGTTTAATAGCCGGTTCCGTGGAATTTGGGATCCGTTCGCTATGGGCGAGCAGCAGTTCCTGGCAGGCGAGCGAGCAGGGTTGTTGGTCGAGGGAGAGCCCTCCCCACCTGGGTCCTGCAAATCCCAGCATGTTTCCTTGCTCCTTGTGGAGGGGAGGCAGAGGTTTTTGAGAACGGCTGGGTAGCTCTGTGATTTAGGTCTAGGTGGGGAGTTTGAATCCCGCCCCCCCGGGGCCTCCTTGACATGGGCTGGACTCAGTGATCCAGAGGGTCCCTTCCAGCCTTGCAGTTCCAGGATTATTATAGGACTGCTGGAGAGCTCAGGGGTTGATGTCTCTAGCTATGGTCCAGAGGCTGGACGTTCGAATCCCCCACTGGGCCTCCTTGTTATGGGCTGAGCTGGATGATCTTTAGGGGTCCCTTCCAGTTCCTCAGTTCAAAGAATATTATTATTTCTGCACAGACAGTCAGAGAAACCACGCAAATTTTCCTCTGGCAGTCTGCTGGATTAAAAATACATGTTTAATTGGTTTAGTTTGTCTTAGAAGGAGTCGGTGGCTTTTCTCCGTCCTTCTGTCTGCTCTCCTTCTCTCATCTTCTGCTTCCGCCTCTCCTTCCTCCTCCTCCGTCCCCTTTCTTCTTCTCCTTTTTCATCTCCTTCCTCCACCAAGCTCCCAGTGACTGGTCTGTCTTTCCTCCCCCTTTCAGCCGAGAAACAAAAAGTCAGCGAAATAAGGGTAAAGAGTGAGTGGCGGATTTGGGGTTTCTCATCCGACTATGTGGGCTCCAGCACTACCATGGGTTGGGGTGGGTGGAAGGGTGAACTAAATTAACCCCAAAGCAATTTTGAGTTGTTTTAGGGGACTTATCTTTCCCCCTGAAATCTCCTTCCAGGGCCAGGTGGAGATTGAGGACCAGGTGGAAGGTTTACACTACGTTGCGGAGAAGTACGGGTTTGTGGACCTCACTCGTGTTGCCATCCACGGATGGTCCTACGGGGGTTTCCTCTCCCTCATGGGGCTGATCTGCAAACCTCACGTCTTCAAGGTGAGCCTAGAGACCAATTCCGTCCATGACCTGCCGTGAAAATCCAAACAGGCTTCAGGGTTTTCCTCCCCCCCCCCCGTTTTCCTTTTTCCCCCATGTTGCTCTGTCCATTTGACTCTATTTCACAGGTGGATTGATTTATCATGTGTTTATTTACTTCAACAGTACAACCCACTTATCTGTGGGATCAGTATTCACTTATCCACATTCTGAAAGTATTAAATTTATTTACTTCAACAGTACAACCCAGTATTCACTTATCCACAGTCTGAAAGTATTAAAAAAAGAAATTTTCTGGAATATACTGAATTTTTCCGTGTATAAGACGCACCCGTGTATAAGACGCACCTCCCACTTTTCTAACCCCAAAATTTCTTTCTTTGCAAGAAAGTGGAGGGGGAAGGCAGGGATCAAAGCATTTTGATGCCTGCTTTCCCCCTCCACTTTCTTCGGAAGAAAGTGGTTTTCCCCTCCACTTTCTTTGCAAGAAGCTTATTTCCGCCTTGCAAAAATTGGAGAGAGAAAGCCGCTATTTGCAAAGAAAGTGGACAGGAAAAACACTTTCTTTGCAAGAGGGTGGAGGGGGAAAGCGATTTTGATCCCTCCCCTCCCCTTTCACTACTGTGTATAAAACAACCCTCCATTTTTCCTCTTATTATTTTAGGAAAAAGTGTAGTGTTATACATGGGAAAAATACGGTATATTTTTCACTATGCTGTTCCTAGAACTGGCCACTAGAGGGAGCCAGAGACCACGCTGTGAAGATTGTTGCAAATTAAAATCATGTTCAGCGTCTGCAGGGTGGCTGGAACTGCTTCCCCGGCAGGATTTTGGGTTCCTACTGTATTCGCCATTGATCAAACATGCATTTTTTTTCAGCTCATATCCCAGTTTCCTCCATCATGTCCTTGATTTATTTGATGGGTGCTTTATTGGGGATACGTGGTCTTTGTCCTTTATTGTATTTTTGATTTGTTGCACGATTGTTTCACTCTGGATACAAACCACCTAGAGCAGGGTTTGCCGTTAGATGAAGTGGGATAAAAGCTTAAGAAACAAACACTTGTAGAAGGTTTTATTTTTCCATTGCCGTTGAAGATTTTCAAGCATTCATATGTCAGCCGTATAATTCCCTGTTCTTCTTTCAAGCTTCTTGGCTTAATTATTTCAACTTGCCTTGTTCTAAATAGCTGTCTTTAAATTTTAAAAAAAATACGATCTGTTTTTCTAAGGTGCTTGCTATAATAATTGCAATTACGTCAGGAGTGTAGCCAGAAATAATTCAGAGAGTTCTAAATTAAAAGAAAAATAAGAATAAGAATTATGAAATATTATGTATCTCGTATTCACATCGAATTGAATGTGAAGTTTTGAACCTTCACGCCTATCTAATAATTATACAGCCACATTGAAAAAGTTTTAGAATATACTAAATACAGTGATGCCTCGCTTAACGATGTTAATTGGTTCCAAAAAAAACATTGCTATGGAAAAACATTGTTAAGCGAAACACCATTTCCCATAGGAATGCATTGAAAACTGGTTAATCCGTTCCAATGGGAACGGATTGCCGTCCTTAAGCGAAAATCCCCATAGGAAACATCGCTAAGTGAAACAATGTTNATGCGAAGCTGGAGTGTCCTCTCCAGAGCACGAAGCCTGGGTAAAATAATATGGAGGATAGGCTGTTACCCAAGCAGCAAATCCCCCCTCTCCACGTCGCTGAAATGGTCCAGTGGAGAGGCATGAGCCAGTACAACTGGTTCCAGCAACGTCGCAGGAGTTGGCAGAGTGCCACAAAGTGCCTCCGAGATATTATGTATCTCGTATTCACATCGAATTGAATGTGAAGTTTTGAACCTTCACGCCTATCTAATAATTATACAGGCACATTGAAAAAGTTTTAGAATATACCAAATACTCACCAAAGAAGCAAGTCTTTAAATCCTGTTTGAAGGTTTCTTTTTAAATATATGTCTCTGTTATTTACTCCAGTATTTATTTACTCTATACCACGCCCTTCTAGACCGAAGTCTACTCTGGGTGGCTAACAATAAGACATAAATAAAAGCAATATAATAAAATAAAGTCAACATTAATAATATTATTCAAGGTGGCAAAAAGTAATTCATGTTAGTGGTGGGATTTGAACACGGGGCTGCTTCTAAAGATCCGAGAGCTTGGTTGTCTGGGGGAAAGGCCGCCTTGGCCAAGGGCCTGGATTCAAGGCACAGAGTTTCTGTCTTTACAGAAGTAGGAAGTAATTTGAGGCACCCACGATTTCTTCCCGACCCTTGGCAGGTGGCGATCGCTGGGGCCCCCGTCACAGTCTGGATGGCGTACGACACGGGCTACACCGAACGATACATGGACGTCCCCGAAAACAACCAGCAAGGCTACGAGGCTGGCTCGGTGGCGCTACACGTAGAAAAACTCCCCAACGAGTAAGTCTTCGCAGGGGGTTGTGACGAGGCCGGCGGAAGAGGCTTGCAGGAAAACATCCTGGGTGTTCAATACTGTAGAAGTCCCTTTATCCGCAGCATTGTTCTTTCCATATACTCTCTCTATATTTCTAGCCAAAAGTGGCCAGTAGAGGGAGCCTGGGAGCATGCAATGTACAATAGGGGGCCTTGGTTGGCAGGATCAGTATCCACTGTTTCCCTTATCCATAGTCTGAAAATATTAAAAAGAAAATCCCCCAAATATATACCGTATTTTTCCGTGTATAAGATGCCCCCATGTATAAGACACCCTCCACTTTTCTAACCCAAAATTAAGAAATCTAAGTGAGGCTTAGCAAGTGTACGGGGAAAGGGATCAAAGCGCTGCAGGATCACTTTGATCCCCCTTTCTCCCTTCGTGCTAAGCTCCGCGTGGGCTTAGTAAAAGGAGGGGAAAGGGATCAAAGCAATCCTGCAACTGCACGATTGTTTTGATTCCTTTCCCCCTTATACAGCCATGGGATTGCTTTTATTCTTTCCCCCTCCTTTTGTTAAGCCGCATGGGACTTAGCAAGCAGAGGGGAAAATCCTCTTGTTAAGGATTAGCAACTGGAGGGGAAAGCAGGGATGAAAGC